GCAAGGTATGCGATGAAGAAATGGTGTGGACCTCCTACAGGGGCACACCTAAATATGAGCTCACCCGCTTGTCTTTCTTGTGACACAAGAAACCTTTCCTGACCTACGTCTGAAGATAATCTCTCTTGTTGGTGTTGGGTGCCATTAGTGAATTCCAACTCACAGCGAACCATGGGACAGAGCTGAACGACCCCACTGGAGTTCCTAGTCCTGATCCTTAAGGGAGCAGATGACCACACTTTATCATACGGAGCCTCCAGCTGTGTCCTAATCATCAGCCTACAGGTGTGCACCTGAGCACTAATGGTTGTGCCACCAGGGCCTCGTGGTGATTCCTCTGAATAGCTGACATTTTCTGCTGGAACTTTTCTTTGCTGGCAGAACACTTGGGCTCCTCCAGTTTCCAGAATGCTCCTTTGAAACCAGGATTGTGGGGCTTTGTCTCTTGGACTTGGAACGTGTGACCTGGCAGGGACCAGTCCCCGGAGAAGGATATCAGGCTTGGTAAAGTGGAGGGTCAGTGACAAAGAGGAGATGGACTAACACCTGACACCAAAGATAACCTCAAACAACAATTGTGAAGTTGGCTCAGGACGGGGCAGTGTTTCGTTCTGTTGTGCATGGGGTCGTTATATATTGAAAGTGACTTGTTGGTACCTAAAGACATGGGTAAGGTTACCACATGCTTTTGTCACTTGGGAAAGGTGACTGGCTTCCCCTAGGGGGTAAGGAGTCTCCTTCCCTTGAAGGGTGGGGGTTGGATTCGGATGAAGCACTGTGGGACCGCAGGGCTTCACAGCAAAGCCTTTCTCCTGACCTCCCAGCCTGCACTCAGGGCGGGGCCTCAGGGCAGATGCCCTGGGATGCTGGAGCCTGGCCCAGCCCTGCCTTCTCCTTCCTCTTTCTGCCTCTCGCTGTCCCTGTCTTCCAAGGATTATTCTGACAGGACTTCTTCTAAGACAGACTTGCTCTCTTTACTGAGGACAGCCTTTCCCCTCCTCACTCTGTGCTTCTCTGTCTCTCTCCATCACTGCTGTTTCTGCCTCTCTCTCCCCATCTGTCACTCTCCACTATATGTATGTGTACCTGGCTTTCTCTCTCTCTCTCTGTCCATCTCTGCTCTCTTTTTCTTTCTGTCTCTCTGTCCAGTTCTCTATTTTGGACTCTTTCGTTCTCTCTCTCTCTCTGTACATATTTCTTTCTTTCTTTCTAGTGCTCCCTGGGTTGTATGGATGTCATTTGTCCTTCTGTGTCTAAGAATCACTATTTACCCTCAATCATTTGAATTTCATCTAGAGAGTCTTTGGGAGGTTGTTCCTCTCTCTTCCCTTGGATTTTCTGGTTAGTCCAGGGCTCGCCTGACCGCGAGTGAGAGGATTCCACTCCTTACATTCCAGATTCTCTAAATGCTAACTATAGAAGTATGTGGTGGTCGCATGGGATCCATGGTGGGGGAAGGGCTACAAAGACTATTCAGGACACAAACGCATGAAGGATGATTCAAATCACAGGCCTAAAACATCGTTCTCAGCTCTAATTAGCGGTCATTAACGGAGCCCTGCTGTCGGATGAGCAATTTTCATCTGATGCTCTTGATGAAGAGAGAATGATGGCCGTGAAATTGTCTTCAGAGGTGTGAAGGTCACATTCAAGGTCGTCTAATGTGAGAGGTTCTGGGGCACTAGTAGGACTTTCAAAACAAAGGCCAGTCAAAGAGCTGGGCCTCTTAGCTGCTCCTCAGATACCCAGAAGCAGTGGGCCCACCTCATCCGTTCGAATCCAGCCTCTGTTCAAACAGTATGCTGCTGTGCTGATGCTGTGTGTACAACATACAACTCACAGCCACCCTCTGCAGAAGGTCTCCACGGCTCTAGTTTACTGTGAGAGCAAAAAGGCTCATTTTCTCCTACAGGGTGGCTGGTGGATTTGAACCGTTGAACTGCTGGTTAGTAACCCAACACATAACCCACTATGCTAACAAGGCTCCCTTTAAACACGAGTATGCATATACTGTTGTTGTTAACGTACCATAAAGTCGATTCTGATTCATAATTGTACACCAGAACGAAACACCGCCCGGTCCTGGGCCATCCTCACAATTGTTGTTACGATGAGCCCACTGCTACTGCCACTGGGCCAATCCATCTCATTGGGGGTCTTCCTTTTTCGTTGACCCTCCACTTTACCAAGCATGATGTCCTTCTCCAGGGACTGGTCCCTCCTGATATCATGTACAAAGTGAGTGAGATGAAGTCTGGCCATCCTGGCTTCTAAGGAACATTCTGACTGTACTTCTTCCAAGATCGGTTGGTTTGTCCTTCTGGCAGACGGTGGTGCATTCAGTATTGTTGGCCAACAGCACAATTCAAATGCCTTAGTTTTTCTTCCATCTTCCTTATTCATTGTCCCGCTGTCCCATGAATATGAGGTGACTGAAAATATCAGAGCTGGGTCAGGCACACCACAGTCCTCAGAGTGATAGTTTTGCTTTCAAATTTTTTAAAGAGACCTTTTGCGGTAGAGTTGTCCAATGTGACACGCTGTTTGATTTCTTCATTGCTGCTCCCATGGGTGCTGACTGCTGCTTTAAGTCTATGAAATCCTTGGTGTCAATCTTTCTTCCAGTTTCTATGACGTGTTATTGGTCCTGTTCTGAGGACTTTGGTTTCCTTTATGTTAAGGTTTCATCGTAATGAAGACCAGAGGAAATGAAGTCTAGGATCTATGCATGAAAATTAGCCAATAAGAACCTTATGGGTCACAACAGAACACTGTCCAATTCAGTGCTGGAGGCGGGGTCCACACCAATGGGCCCCAACACGCCAACCATGTGACGATGTCCCAGGATTGGGCTGCAGTGTTTGTTGTATATACGGTCACAGTAACTGTGAACTGGAGCCATCCTGGGGTCAATGAGCAGCAGGAGCAACTGGATACAAATTTACTTTTGATGTGCAAACTCACGCTAAATCCCTCTACAAAGTAAGAGGGCCCATCATTCAGTGCAAAGAAATCCCAGGCCAACACAGATAGGATGGGCACAGCCTATGAACCCCATAAAGGGTATCGTCCCCGTCCACGCTTGAAGGATACAGTGGCTTAAGTACACCCAAATGGGAGATGCCAGAGCCACTTGGACAAAGCCAGGGCCCAGAGAAAGCAGCTCCTGGTGACCCAGACTGGATTCGCAGAGCACTACAGGTTCATGAAACCAAAAACACCCACTGCCATTGAGTCAGGCCCGGCGCCCAGCGACCCTCCTCTAGGAGAGGCGAACTGCTCCTCAGGGTGGCTGAGACTAAATCATTACAGAGCAGACTGTCTTATCTTTCTCCCCACGAGGGGCTGGTGGGCTTGAACCATCAAGCTTGTGATTAGCAGCCTAACCCACAGAGTCACCAAGGGGTGTGAAGGCAGATTTAAAGGACTGGTCATTCCACTCACAGTTAAGCGAGCCAACAAATACTACAGGTAGGCCTGGGCCTGAACTAAACAAAACCCAAGCGGAGAAAAACCTCCTCCCAAGATTCCCTAGATGAAATCCAAACGACTGAGGCTAAAATTCACTCTCAGACACAGAAGGGTAAAAGACATCTGCACAACCCAGGGAGCAGTCAGAAAGACAGTGGGCGACATGGGGGGGGGGGGGGGCAGCCTTCCCCACCCACCAGACCTCGCCACCTTCTGCCTTGGGTAGATTTCACTGGGTATCCAAGCCCCTAACTGGTTCCCCCACATAGAAGACATCACTTTAACTCTACCATTTCCCAAAACATTCCAATATTGTTCATCCAAGGGGGCTTCAAAAAGCTCTTGGAAAAATGGAATTGCAAGATAATGGAATCTGAGCATGACTCTTTGAAGTCCCCTGATATAACCACACACACCATGGTGCCCCCCCTCCCCAACCCCCTTTTTTTTGGAACAAACAGCACGATGTTTGTATTCAGTGAGTGGCAGTCCCGGGCAAAGATGGCCAAAGGACACCGTGCTTTCCAAATGACCACACAGTCTCGGGAACAAGAGGTCAGCTCTAGAGCAGGTGTTAGAGAACGCATGGGAAGCTACTGCTAAAACAACATCTAGGGGACGAAACAAGGTGAAAATGGTTTTTGAACTCAAAAAGATCAAAATGGAAGGTAAAAAAAAATGAAAGCAAACAGGGTGATAACACAGAACGAAGCGGGAAGGGAAGGCTACGGTACAAAGTTGGGCCTGCTCCTCTCTCCAAACAAGACAAGCGCTGCCATGAAGATCATGTATAGTTACCTGCGTCCGTATCTGCAAAAAATGGAACAGCCAGCAAGAAAGAGAAGGAACCAGAAATTCAGTGTCTCAGAGTTGGATTGGATAAGGTTACATGGAGAGAAAATATCATTTAGAAAACCTTGTGAGAATTCTAGCTTGAACTTGGGGGAGGGGGACACTAGGGGACATGAGGATAGAAGCTAAATGGTCAGCTCCCGTCCAGGTCTTAATCTTACTTAATGCAAAAGACAGTAATAGTAAAATATGGGTATGTTCACCAGATGGGGAACGCCTGTTATAAAAGAAAACACCTTCTCATACAAAATGACGATTAGACATTTATCTTAACAATGTAAGTGGGTGGACATAGTCACACGTGGGCAACAGCAATCAGAATGTCTGTTCTCTAGAAAAATCTATGACTCTGTAACATTACGGAAAACTAGGGTCAGAGACATGGCCGACTGGTGCTGGACTCACACTGGAGACGACCAGGCTGTGACATGGGAAATCCATTCAAATGTATTCAGTGGTTCTAACTCAATTGCCCCAGTTGCCAAAGTCAACAGAATTGGGTTTGCTAAACAAACTACAAACAATCCATCTACTTAAGGGTTTGTATGGCTCTGTGTACTTTATTACTTCCTTGGCAGGTGACATAGCAAAGTAATGATTTAGAATATACTAGAATTAAAAAAAAAAAAAAGACATTTTCTTTTTTAAGCTGGAAATTGTCTTTTGTGGGGCGTTACCTTCGGGAGACTCCTCTTGGACGTACGTGCCGGTCAGGTACCTGTGCACCAGGGCGGACTTGCCACTGGCCAAATTACCCACAATGCCCTGAAACAGAGGAATGAACAAGCTTTCAGGGAAAATTTTAGCCACTCGAACTGGCCGTCTGCAAATAAAAGGCTAAAAGTTGTTGTTGAGTTGTGGTTAGGTTGATTCCAACACCCTGTGTGTGTCAGAGTAGAGCTGTGCTCCACAGAGATTTCAATGGAGAGGTTTTTCAGAAGTAGATTACCATACATTTCTTCTGCAGCACCTATGAGAGAACCTGAATGCCCACCCTTTCAGCTAGTCATCAAATGCTGTGTTTGTGCTATCCAGGGATCCCAAAGTATTGTTGTTGTTAGGTGCCATCAAGTCGGTACTGACCCATAGTAACACTGTGCACAACAGAATGAAACACTGCCCAGTCCTGGGCCAACCTCACAATTGTTGCCACGCTTGAGTCCATTGATGCTGCCACTTGGCCAATCCATCTCACTGGGGGTCTTCCTCTTTTTCTCTGACCCTCCACCTTACCAAACATGATACATGATATCCTTCTACAGCAACTGGTCCCTCCTGACAACATGTTCGAAGCTGAGAGACAAAGTTTGGCCATCCTGGCCTCCAAGAAGTATGTGCCAGTCAGGTACCTGTGCACCAGGGCAGACATGCCACTTGATCAATTCAAAGTCATCACAAACAAGTATTGGTTGGGTGGACAAAACTGAGCTCATTAATTATTCTGGTGCACTAAAGGGACCCCCAAAGCTCATGCTCATGTTCATCTCAGAGTCAGCAGCAGAACAGTGGCCAACCTTGTGTACAGCACGCCCGGGCTGTGGTGTTCCTTCGGCAAGAAACACACCTGCTGGTCTTCTGGACAAGGCACATGGGGGCAGCCAGTCAACCCTTGTTCTGTATCTCCTCAGAGGGAGCACGCTACCAGGTCAACTTGACTCATGGGGCATAGTGGCAGGACACAGCAACAGAGGGTAACTACTTCATGTGCTCCGCTGCTGGCTGAAAGGCAGGGGTTCAAGTCCACCTAGAGCCACCTTAGAAGAGAGGCCTAGTGATGTACTCTTGACCAATCAGCCACTACAAACTCTAAAGCGTTCAACTCTGACACACACGATGGTCACCAGGAGTCAAAATAGACTAGGGACAACTGGTTTTCTATTTTGTTGTAGGAGTAATGTGGGAGATAATAAAGGTATGCTGGTATAATACCCCATCCTGAAAAGATGAATTAGGGGTTGGATTCTGGAGGGTCTCTAACCACTGCCTGAAACGTTCCCTATATTCAGATGACACCTCCTCCGAGAAGGCTTCCTAGAACACAGTCTCGGCAGGAACCTCTCCTTAGAGCTCCTTTAGTGTGGTGACACCCTCTGCTTGACAAACGCCAGCTTACGGATCAGATCGCTCTACAACACCGACAATTCCCCAAAGAGCAGGAACAGTATCCTAGTCATCTTTGACTGTACGCATCCTGAGCAGCCCCCAGCCAGCGATAAACTCAACCACACTGAGTGAATGAATACCAGAAGTATGCATGAGGTACTTTATTACTTCTGCTCAGCGCCAGACTGCAGACGACAGCTCCGAAACATCGTTCCACCTCCTGAATTGAGTCCTGATTTCTATTACCCTGGGCTGCTGTCATCGGAGAATGTCTACCAATCTATGATTCTTCTGCTCAAGGGAACCTGCCGTTTGTCAGCTTCATGCTGAGGAAACCCAAGACAGGAAGCCGCAGAATTAGAGTTTTAATTACAATGAGAGCTGCTCTTTCCCAAGAATGAAAGGAAACGCTCAAAACCAATCATTCGTCCATCTGTGCTTTCCTGGTTTAGTAAAATGTGCTCCTCAGTGTGGAAGGGTTGTGCAAAGGCTGAGGCTGGACCCTCAGAAGGGGGAGCTCTGTCAGGGACAGGGGTGCGGATGTTTTCTCTAGCTTGAGTGACCAGTTCACAGGTCATCTCATACTGGGACAGGACTTGAACCTGAACCGTTGGTAGAAACCGACACCTGAGAGCAAGGAGGAAACAGACAAGCTGAAAAGCTACTCCAGAACCAGACAGAGATCTTGGGGCAGAAGGTGAAGGTTCTGAAGAGCCTAAAGAGCTGTATCCTCTGGGGAAGCAGTAGGTCTGCCGCATCCCTGAGGGTGAAATAAACACTGTGCTCAACTGCTAGGTGAAAGGTTGAAGGCTGGAGTTCATCCAGAGGTACCTCGGAAGAAAGACGTGGTGATCTCCTTCCTAAAAACCAACTGCTGAAAACCCTATGGGGAGGACAGAGTGGGGTTGACACACAGGGGTTGCGGTGAGTCGGCAGCTGGGAGTAGTTCAGTGGTTGTAGAGGACAGGGAGCGGTGCAGTAGCAGAAATCATTGCGGCAGACGTGAGGATGGGCAGGAAGGGTCCAGAGAAGGAGTACCATCATGGTGGGGTCATGCAGCAGTAGGAAGGGGATTAAGGAGTGTCCCCGTGGAGCAAGAGCACTGGTACTGGGGGGGCAGGAGGAACGGGGGTATGAGGAGGAGTAAGGAGAGTCCCCGTGGATCAGGACACTGGTACTTGGGTGCAGGAGGGACGGGAGGAGCCATAGTGGAGGAGAAACAGAAACTGACGCAGGAGGAGTGTAGGAGAGGCCACCATAGGCTGGCAATAACACCACCAGCACCCTAAGTCACCCACGAACAGCAGAGCTCCGGGCATTACCACACAGCAAGAGAATAAGAAAGGAGGGCCGGTTTTTAAGCAGCTTCCTCCCTTGTCCACACTTCACCACTTACTGCCTATTATGTGGATTCTGAAGAGGAAATCACGGCTTTGGGTAAAAAGACAACTGGAGGATCTATGAGTGCAGGGAAACGGTGGTGCCTGTTCCTGACTAACGCGCCCTCTGCAGGCCGGTTGCTGAATTGTAGTTACTGCTTCCCACTGGAGGTTACCACCTGGAACCTACAGTCTATTATAGTGAGCAGGGCTGGGCCATCTTCCAGAACAGCACAGAAGCAAATCACGGTTGACTATTTAACCACATCTCGACTTCCAAAGGCAGAGAGCCTGCTATACCACCATTCTTGAAAAGGATGCAGACGTTGATCTTCTGTCTGGCACACTCTCAGAGACAGAATAGTCCATAAAGAGTCCAAAGGAGGCCTCCTTTGATGTCACTGGATGGCTACCATGGAGGCCGTCAGAACCTCGGGGCCTATGGCGCTGACTTAAAGGGCCACCTGGCTTGGCTGACACACTTGATGGGGAACAATTGCAGCCCTGTGGCCAAGTGGAGACTGCCCTGCAGGACAAAAGGGACACTTTCTCCGGACACTGAAGACCCAGACAGAGGGTTGGACCGTACGTATACAGTCCCTGCTGGACTGCGGTCTGTCCACACACAGGCCAGAGGACAGGACCCTACCTCTGAAAGAAGGGAGACCCTAGGTCAGCAGCCTCCACTTCCTCCAGGAGACACGGCTACCAGCTCTAGGAGCTGGAGAACCTTGAAGCTGGTTAAGTTTGGGGAAGACAAATCCAGCGACCACCCCCTCCTCTGGTGGTTATCCAGAAACACTCACTGGCAGCAAGCATTGTCCATGTGGGGGCCTGAAGATGCGGGTCACTGCAGGGCTCTTGAGGAGTGATAGTCATTAAATGCCACCACTGGGTTGAACTCACAGGCTATGTACCCCAGAGATAACGGTCAGTTGGTAGTCGCCATTAGCAGAGTACCCACTAACCTCATAAGGCTGTTTCAATTTCCATGAACTAAATGGAAGTACAAAGGGAACATTTAGGACCTTTAGACCCCTGGCCACACCTGGCATGTCAGTAGTGACTATCGGGTTGGGCACTTTGGAGGGAGAATACTTCCATCACTGTGTAAGCATCTATAAGGAGGCCTGGTGGTGCTGAGGGGTAAGCATGGTGCTAATTGCAAAGTTAGTGGTTCAAATCCCCCAGCCACTCTGAGGGAGAATGATGAGGCAGTCTGCTACTATAAAGACTGCACACTGTACCAGAGAGCAGTTCTACTCTGTCTACGGTGTCACTGTGAGTGCGAACCAACTCAAGGACAGTGGGTTTGGGTGTTTTGTGGTGTTGTGGGTTACTGCACTGGACTGCAAGGTCAGTCTGAACCACAAGGTCGTGGTTTAAGGTTACCAGCCACACCTCAGAAACTCTATACAGAGTCGCTATAGGTCAGAACGGACTAAACAGCACTTAACAACATGGAACCATGCTGGTCCAACAGCAGAAACGCTGGTTCAAGCCTCAGCTCTGCCACTTATTAGCTGCCTTGTCCTTAGGCCAGTTCTTAGTGTGTCTGCGCCTCGGGTTCCTCATCTGGGCAATGGGTTGGCTGTGGGCACTTGTGTGCTGTACACGAGCATGCCCAGCACGGAGTAGGAGGCTGCTAAGCCTTCATCATGGTCATGAAACACTCTTCCTACTGCTTGTGTTTAACCACAGAACTGATGGGAACCTGGATGACACTTGAGGGGTCGTCTTCACAGGGTGGATCTGAAAGTGGCTCATCTGTGTGAAACACTCCCGGTCACCTTCATCCACCCAACAGCCATGTGCTCAATGTCTTCTCTGGGATGAATGAAGAGCTGGGTGGAGCAGTTACAAACGTACCAAAAACAGAGGATGGAGTCCTTTCGAGGTCAGCCCTTTGTCTTCCACGAGGAAGGAAGTGGGAAGTGGTGGGCAGATGCACCAGGAACAGGCCAGAGCCTCGGGGGAGGAGTGAGGTGGGGACCCAAGAAGGAAAGGAACCCAGACGACGCCAGCCAGGGGCTGATCAGGGGAGGATGTGGCTGACTGGGATGGCACAGGAGATTGTGAACCACGACCTCCCCAGGTTTCAAGGTGCTGAGACAGCACCTTCGTTCATGTTGCATGTGCTGCTTACAGACGTCATCTGTACCCGCCTCAGAGAGCTGGAGGAGACCTTGAGAAGCAAGGACACTGGAGGGGCCTGGCCCTGCCCCGTGTCCCGTCCTCTAAGCTCCGCAGACGTGGAGTAGCCCAAGGCCTCTGAAAGTCAGCGAGGCCACCACACAGGAGCTGGGGGCTAGGAATGGCAGTGCAGGCTTAGGCAAGAAACAGGTTTGGGTTTGGAAGGGAGAACCACGTGGGTCCACGCTGCAGCCACCAAGCATCCCGAGTCCCCTGAACCACACTCTGCTGGCTCCGTTTCACAGTCCCAGTGTGTAAACACTAACACACGTGCACATGAGAACTTTCAGTACGCACGAGCACACGCAACACTGATAATCCTATGTAGGGACAAGGGGGCTTCAAAAACTTTGTGCGAAAATTCCATTCTCTTTCCGTTTCATTTTCCCTGACCTGTTTGCGATGTTCTTATGTGTTTGTGCACGTATGTATGTATGTATGTATGCATGCATGCATCCATGCATGTATATGCATGCATGCATGTATGCATGTATGTATGCATGCTGCTGTGGGTCGAGTCAGTTCTGACTCATAGCATCCCTGTATTGGGTTTCTGTAGTTCTCCATCTTTATGTGAGCAGACAGACTCACTGTTCCCCCATGAAGTGACTGGTGGACTCGAACTGCTGACTTTGCGTTTAGCGGCCCAACACGCAACCCACTATGCTACCAGAGCCCCTCGTTTGTGTGCAGTTACATATATATATATATATATATATATATATATACATGCTTTTTGACAGATAGATAAAAAATAGATTTCGTTTTGTTTCTCAAGCATTGTGCTTACCAAAATAACCCCGGGGTGTGTGTGTGTGTGTGTGTGTCACTGCTGACCACAAGGTTGACAGTTCAAACCCATCAGTTGCTCTTGGAAAACCATGCACAGGCTGGCTAGGAGCTGGAACCAACTCAATGGCTCCAAATAGCAACATATGTGTATCGTATGTATGAAGGGATTTCAAAAAATTTGTAGAAAAACAAAATTAAAAGATAATGAAATATTTCCAACATCTTTTTGAAGCCCCTTCTTACGTGTATTTGTGTATTTCCCCCAATACCATATATGTCATGGTAAAGGACACATTCCATTGTGAAAGCACATATGATCTCTCCCTCCTGTCCTTGTTAAGGCTGGGCCGTGCAGCAGGGAGGGGCCAAACGTGTAGCCTGTGATACAGCCATTGTTTTTTCACATGAGGAAATTTGGAGGTTTTAAATACTCCATTTGAAAGAGTATTGAAACGTCTGTAACAAACGCAAAACTCTTCTTTAACGTTAGGGTAACACTCAGCAATAGAGCTAACAGTTGCTTGTCTTGGTTTTTTTGTTTTAATGATGAATATCAAGTTTGGTGCCTCATGGTATAAACCGCTCCTGGTATTAGTAAAGCACAAACTTGTGTGTGTGTGTGTGTCTGTGTGTCTGTGTGTAAAAGACAGAGGGAGAGAGACAGAGAGAAAGAAGATGATGGGGTGGAGGCAGAGAAACAGAGGGAGACTGTAGGGGAGACAGAACCATGAACCCACTCCAGCTGGGCACCTAGTACAGTCCTGCTCGGCTCCCCAGGCCCAAACTGTCCACTACACCTGGTTCTTGCCAATGGCACAACACCTAGAAATGACCCTCAGATGTGCCCACACGGCCCAGTTCCATTCTGACACCCAGCCCACACCCTTTTCACAGGTGAGAATGACCACCACCACAACCAAAGGGGACCACACTCACCACTTTGAGCTCGGGGACAGATCGGCTTAATGTCCATTCCTGGCTGTTCACAAAGGCATCTGTAAAACAGAAGGATAGGAACAGAGGTAAACAGCATGATCCCATCCATGTAAGGGCCCAGTCCAAACAAGCCCACGTGCCCTTTTTAAAACAAGAAAACATCTGAGGCCATCCAACACCCTGAGGCACTCTCGACCCGATGGCTAAGCGCCAGGACAAGTGGGTGTCCAGCTCCTTCTGCACTGAGATGCAATGATGTCAGGCAGCTTCACAAGACCGCTGCCCCTGGTCACTTTCCCCGTGTAAACCGTGCTGACCAGCACTTCGGGCTGCCTTTACAGAACTCTCCTTCGGCAGCTTCACAAGTACGGATGTTAAAGGTGGCTCTTCCGCAACGGACCCTATGGTCAAGCACCTGGCTTTTCTTTTCTTTTTTAATTGTTGCTGTTGTTAAGTGTCCTCAAGTGGGTTCTGACTCACAGAGACCCTGTATAGGGTTTCCAAGGAGCGGCTGGTGGGTTTGAACTGCCAACCTTGTGGTTTGCAGTCCAATGCTGATCCTACAGCGCCGCACTGTTTTATTTCTGGATGGTGGGGATGTGGTTTACTGTTATCCTTTTTTTTATATTATCATGTATTACTTTTTATTTTTCATTATGATAGAAAAAAATATTCTATCCAGCCAGGTTTCTATGTATAATTTAGTGACTTTTAAAAAAAAAAAAGCAGTACTGTGAGCTCCACCTCACACCGACCCTGTAGGGCAGGCTAGGAATCAGAACCGGCCCTCAGGGTGTCTAAGGCTGTAGATCTGGACAGAAGCAGGCGGCCACATCTTT